TGGCTATCGGGTGTTGTTTCTGTCTGCGAGACTGGCCGTTGGTTGGTATGTGGATGGGTCGGATGAATGTGCCTTTGCTGCTGCTTTCAGTGCCGATAATGTCAGCGTAGCGAATGAGTAAGTTTGCAGTGGCCTCTAGTTCATCTCGGTTCGGGTGGTTTGGTAGCAATAGTCCCGTGTTATGTTTTAGCCAGGTTAGCTTTTGATCCAGTGTCTGGACGTTGGGCTGTAGTTCCATAGTAGGCTGGTTTTGGATGATGTCAGCTTGGGCACCATATGCTGGATCGTTGGTTGATGATGACGGTGATATCATTGTGGCTGTGTGTGTTGTGCATCCTGAGGAAAGTGTGCGTCTGAATTCTATAGTTGCATTTTGGTTGTCGATTAGATAGGAATCGAGCGTGTTGTGACGTAGGATATTTTGGCCGATCAGGATCGGTGTGGTTTGGGTAGTTACCAGCACGTTAACCTTTTTGAATGTGGGTGAGTCTCAACTGCCGATGGTGATGTACTAAGAAGTCAGTTCGCCGAGGGCGGTGGTGCTGCCGTTGATTCCTTTTTACTATGACGTCTGAGCGGGTCATGAGTTTCTTGCCTTATCTGGATAACTGAGATATTGGTACGATGCAGGTGGAGCATCCAGAGTCTAGCAACATTGCGACACCAGAGAAGGTGATGTCCCTGAAGTTGAAGGTGGACTGGACGAGTGGTGAATGGTGAGCAAGTCCTTGAAAGTTGAAGGTGTGATGGCTGACGTTGGGGCATGGCGAACGAGGCATCACATCTCATCCTGCCCGAAGGGAAAATCCTGTTCCACATCATTTATGGCTTGTATATTATCATTTGTTGCGGTGATATAGGCCTGTGCCTGAGTGCAAGGTGGGTGGCGATATATGTAGTTGCGTCCATGGTGGCAGGGGCGACCTCTGAGGTAGTTCTTGCACATGCTGATTCGTGGTGTGTGCTGATGTTTCCTGCGTGTCGGATGGTGGCCATGTTCGGGAGGGTTGGTGAGGCCCGTCTGCTGTGGGTTTGGTTGCCTGCTGGGTCAGAGTGGCGCGTTTCTTTGGTTTGACCACTGTGGTTTCTGTGTGAAATACACAGTGTCGCATGGTTGTGTCGTTGGATTTTACACCGCGATCAAGGTATATTTGAGCTTTGGAGGCTATGCCAATGGCTGAATAGTGGTTGTCCATTGTCTTGACGAGATGTGGGTAGAGATTTGAGTTCCAAATTTTCACCTTTTCGCTCATTAGCATAGTGCCGATGATGGAAATAAGTCCATTGACTGTTAAGTCTGTATTTTTGTTTTTGTATTTGTTTTTTTATGTGGATGGCTGCCTCTCTAAGGGTGTTTTGGAGTTGACCTCGCGAAGTCTGTTAATTTTTTCGCCGTCTCGCCGTTCCAGGTCCCAGGCTTGACTGAGGTGTTGGAAGTTAGTCATCTGGCTTCCGTGGGCTCCCTAATAAGTATTCTTTCAGTTGTTCGAAGATGGATATGTCTTTTTTGAGTCAACCATCTGCTGAAAGATACTTTGGTCCAGTAAATCTTTAGCAGACTTGACGAATTCGCATTCCAGGCTGGGATAGGTGCTGAGTTCTGGTGTGACGTGGATTGTGTATGCTTTGTTTAGGGCCGTGATGAATCGGTTCACGTTGTGTCCAGGGTGAAAAGTTTTCTCTAGCTTCAATGTGTCACAGATAGTTTGTTGGCGCATCATTAAGCTGTAATCGCCATTTGTTTGAGCAGTGGGAGGTGTTGAAGCAGTTGATTTTAGGGCAGTCAGCATGTCGTTTATGTCAGCTTGAATTTCCTGTATCGTGGTTTCGGAAGGCTGTGTTGGTCCCATTTTCAAGTTGAATAGTAGTGTTTTCTGTTCCTTGATGAGAATAAATAGTTCGGTTCGGGTGAAGTTTCGTGTAGTCGGCCATATTTCACTTGCTGTACGCTTCTGACACCAGTGTTATAGACAAGCGTATGGTTGCAAGAAGGAAATACGACAACAGTAAAAGTAGATTTACGTGGTTTATTTCAACAGGAACGTGAGGGTTTGGGACAGCTACCTTGGTGTGGTAAAGTTCATAAGCCAGCTTTCGGATCTAGGTCGATCTCTCATAGTAGTTCACACATGTTGACGGTGGTTGATGCTCTCCTGCTGACAGCTGCTGAACGCCCGGCCTGACCGTGACAGGTTTCCTTTGTGGCCACCTGTTAACTGCCGTTGAACTTCCGTTTGGCCCTTTTTATAGTGTTTTTTTATGGCTTAACAGGCTCGAAAAATGAAGCGAATATAATTAGGAGGGAAGCATTTTTATTGGACGAAAAATAGAGCACTTTAAATATTATTTTATTTTTCGACCGGAACACGTGTGTCGGGAACATTTGTGAAGAAAGATAATGGTCATTTTGTGATGGGGCTTTGTCCCGTTTACATCCGGTTCTCGCTCTTGAGTATTTGCCTGTAAATCAGCCGAGATATGTCTTATTTTATTTTATAACAGTAGAGATCGCTATGAAACGTCATGACACGCAAACGTATGTACGAACATATATGAACATTCACTCCTTCAACCTGAAACTCTTTCTACAAGGACAGAAACTTATCAACTTAACAGTGAGATTTTCATCAACAAACAGCAGAACTTTTCTTTCAACACACTCAATTCATCTCAACTAACCTCAATTCTACGGTGAACGAATTTGAGCGGCAAGATACTTCAATATATTTTTCAACTCGGAAGTATTAAACTAAAAAACTACATTTTTAGTACCAAATACAAATTCTCGATTTTCAAACTAAGACTATTATTTTCTCTCACTCAACAAGTTTCTTTGAAAGCCTTAAGCAAAACAATTCAACAGTTAAAGGTAAATAACTCCTGCTATATTTAAACATGGAACTTTCAACTACAGAAACACTTAAAACAACATTGTAACAAACTGTTTAGTTCTCTTACAAGTAACAGTACATCTTAATAAAGTTCTCCAAACTTACACACTTTTTAATACACATCACAGTTTATCAACAGGAACATTTTCCTCATTCAAAATTCCAAGGATAAGTAAATTTCAGCATTTAACAACAACTGAATTAATGCCTGTACAATTATGCATATAAATTCCATTTACTTATGCAACTTTTGTTGTTGAACGTTATTCTTGTTTACTTAATCCTTGTTAGCACATTTGTAATGTAAAAAAATAGAATGGGTTCAATCTAGGCCGTTCAACCCGTTGCAATATGACAAATAACAAAAAAAGCTTATTATTGCTATTTATAAATATGCTACACAAACAGTTTTCACAGTCTGTTTCTGGATTATGACAACTGTTCAACTGATGTTCATGAGAAATTGGAACAGATCAGGATGAGGTGTATTGAGGAGTACATGAATGCAGCTCTAATTGCTGTAAGCAATTAGAGCTGGATTCATCTACATGTAAAAATAAAATGAAGACAAAGAATTTTCAAGTGTCTCCAAAGAGGTTATGTCTATTAAAAGAGAGAATGTCACACAGCTCAAAGACAATTAATATTAACAATAAAATAGTAACCCAGAATATGAGTAGCCGATGAAGAACAACTCACTATGGAACTGGAATTTTGTTTCACTTAGGAGGATCCTAGGGCCAGCTCAATGTAATTGTAATGAAACTGATTTTTTGAAAACTGTTACTTTATGATTGTCCACAGTGATGGTATATTGGATTCATTTTTTTCTTTCCGTTTTACAAAAAGTACACACTTTAGAAAACTGAGGATCAATCCTAGCTCTCAACTTCTATCACAAGCTCTTCTGAACACTGGTATTCAAATTCATATTACATAAATCAATATCTGTCTATATTTCTGAGATGAGGTATTATGTACACTATATTATTCGGACTATTGTCCTCATCTTTGTCGCCATATTTATTACGTTTCGGCCTTCTTCCGGAGCCTACATCATAACCTTCCTATTATTATAAAAATTTAAAAAAGCTTGTTTGTTAGACTTTGTTTTGAGGGGAGGGTATTAAAAAAATTCGTTAAAAAGAAGAAAGTTACTTAACAGTAACACGTATTCTTTAAATAAAAACAAAAAAAACCCCTAAAATATGGAGCCAGACAGCAAAAAAAAAACTTTAATAAAATCTGATGTATAAAACTTTGTATATACGAGGCACAAATTGACGTTGTAAAAAAAAGACAACATTGAAAACTGACGGTTTAAGAAAGAGATACATGTATAAAATTTGTTTTTCAAAATTTGTAAAAAAGAGGCTCAATGGAAAAAAAAAAAACCCTGCCTAAATAAAGTTTGCCAATAGACGTGGTTTAAAGAGATTTTTTTTTTTTGTTATATTTTTGAAAAATATGACAAAAAAATATCTCTATCTTTTGAGGTCGTAACTTATTTTCCCCATTGGTTTTATATTTCTAATTAAAAAAAAAAAAAAAACACAATGGGGAAAGTAAGTTACGACCTCAAATTTTTCATAATGTCACTAAAAAAGGAATGACTTGAAAAAAGTAAATAGTACAAATATCTGGTGAAGAAAAAAATTTTTTTTTTTTTCACTCGAACTTTTCCTTCTGGATTATGAACTTTGTAAACTCAACACTTAAAGTTTAAAGTAAAAGTTTCACAGCCCTTCCCTTGGAAAAATCCTTTAACTTGCACAACAGGGACAAAAAAAATTTAATATTTCTATACTGGGTAGAGTATATGTTCCCCCTAATTTAAAATAAAATACAAACCTTCCCATGGCAAATAATAGCTCAATTCGAACAATCAGATCATTGCACAAGTTACCGGTCACTTTGTTATTAGTAGCCATATTCGTTTTCATCCTCAAAAACGTTTACAGGCTTTAATAATTGCATGCATCAAAATGCGGTCAAAGGTTTTTTTTTTTTTTTTTTTTTAAAGAATTTTAGTTATTTTGTATGAAATAATAAATATACTCATAATAAAGCAAATAAAATGAGAGTAATGTCCCTTTAGCCGTTAAAGCCATGTGCATAGCTCATTTTTACCCACTGAAAGCGTAAGAAGTTGTAGTTTGGAAGCTCGTTCATTTGGTGGATAAAGTGGAAGTGATAACAATTGGTAGGCAGGTGCAATAGCTATATAGTCTGTCTAACTCTACAATATTTAAAATTTGACCCAATGTCTTTAATATAAGAGCCCACATAGTGAAATTAACGACTCACCAGTGAATACAATCAACAAAATCTTTAGCAGGTTGGCATTTTTCTCTTTATAATTTATTTAACTAAGTGACCTCAAATTAATTAGTTGATTTGTTTTGTTGCGATTATTATAAATTTCATATTACTTTTTCTATATAATTTATTTGATTAGGTTTCTATCGATCGTATAATGGTTTCATTCTTTCAAGAAAATATTGTTTGTTGTTGTTAATGTTTTATGTAATATAAACAAAAAAGTCCAGTTTCAGGTTTTTCACCTTCACTCATCGTCTTCCTTCTTTCTTAAAGGAAAAAAAACGAAAAACTGTTGACATTATTATTTATTCGTAGTAATGTTTTGTAAATTTACTTGTTAATTCTAAGTTTTAAATGTATTAACTGCGCCCCTTAAAAAGTAAGTAAATAAATAAAACATTTTAACATGAAAGTTAAAAACGCAGAAAAAATTCAACTCAAGAATCCGTGAAGAAAATGTAAGTTTCACAATTTCTAAAAATAATAATTAACAATAAAAAGTTAAAAACTTATTGATGAAGCTGCAATGACTACAATTTAAAAACTCTAATGTTTTTGTGGCGACATAATTGATTTATTTATATATTAATTTAGATTTAAGTGAAAAGAATTTAATTTTAAAAACAATGTTTTGTTTACTGTTTTGATTTTAGGTTTTATCACTAAAAATGCCTTTATTTTTTTAGGTAAAATTTCTTTTCGTTTTTTTTTCCCTTTAAACAAAAAAACTCCTTTCTTTTTAATTATCCTTCTTTAAGTAACAAGAGAAGTCGATGAACAATGATTTTATTTAGTATTTATTCTCTTACTCCATAACTGACTGACCATAACTAATTTTAAACAAAAAATAATGGGTCATTCTCATTTCGCATTTATCTCGTAAATAAATAACAATCGCAACCAATCAACATTTTAATTTTTTTAAATGTCTTTTGCTTTTCCTATTGATTTGAAGTTGCTTCACTTTATTTTCAAATTAATTTTAATTTGTAATAATTGACGAATGTCTTCAAATTTTATCTGTTGCATACATCTCCCTAAAAGGCTAAAAAATGTTGCCGAAAAAAAAAAGGTGTGTGTGGGGTGAAACTGGTCAAGGTTGGTCATCACTAGCTATACCTAGCTAATCGGATTCACGACCCATTTATTTGTTACAATACTCATTCACCATAAGAATTTACTGTTAGTGTTACCATTTGCTCCTTCCTATACCAAAATACCCCCCTGCACACACACACACACACACACACACACACACACACACACACACACACACACTTGGCACCTACTGGGGGGGGACAACCCATGAGTTAAAAATCCCAATAATTGTGTTTATATAAATTTTATCAATAAAATAATGAGTGGATGATAACCCTGAAAAAGAAGGACTCGTCCATCCCACAAAAATAACAGTGACCGCTATATTCTGTCTTACAAAAAAATCAAGAGGCAAATACAAAACAAATCTGAATCCCAAACTACATTACGTCATTTTTTTGAGGAAGCCACGTGTTTTGTTTTGATTTTTGTTTTTTTTCCCTTTTAAAAAAAGAATCGTTGGTGACAAGAAGGATGTTAGTTAAATTATCAATGTTATTGTTGAACAATAGCATTGACAATCAATAACATTGATGTTATTGTTATTGTCAATGTTATTGTTGAGCAATAACATTGACAATAACTAACATACTTCTTTAACAGTTAAAAAACTTACCAGGATTTAACAATGAGGAAATATTTTTTTTTTTTTTTTTTTAAATGTATGACTTTAGAGAAAAAAATGATATTTTATTTTCGTCGAATTTTACATATTTCCATTTTCCTTTTTTCAAAGTCCTTTTTTTTTTTTTATTGTTCTCAGAACATATTTCAATAGAAAGTGCCAAACAATGTTTTTAAATATTAAATAATTTTTAGTAGCAAAAGTTTTTCTCTTACCTTAACCGGCAAGTCGATAATCAGATAAAAAAAAAAAAAAAAAAAAAAAACTATACAAACCCACTCTTTGCTTCGATCTATTCACACAAAAAAATATTCAGTTAGCATTGGGTTGGGAGAGAAACAGTTATAATTGAATTCTATAAAAATTTTAAGTTTTTTTTTTGGGGGGGGCGGATTAAAAGGGAAAATAATACGAAGAATTTACATTTAATTTTTAAATCAAGCCTTTCATCATTGAGAACGTCTTTCCCTAAGTAAAAATAGATAGACCCTATTTTTTTTTTTTTTTAAATTATCCTAACCTGCACAACAGGGACAAAAAAAAATGAATATTTCTATACTGGGTCCGGTAGAGTATATGTTCTCCCTAATCTAAAATTTTAAAATAAAATACTATCGACTCACTAAGTGAGAATTCTGCTCTAAAATTCTTAGAACTGAAAAACAAAACAAAAACTAAAAATCAAATCTTATCACTGTACGAAGATTAATTATTGCTGAGTAGTGATTACAGTAACATAGCGTTGATGGCAGACACGGAAAGAAAGTGAAATGAATAACTATCAATTGTAAGACGATCGTTAGCCAGAATAGCCCAAAGATGTGAGCTATGAATTGGAGACGTCAAAACAAATCAAGCTATCTTACCAGTAGTGTTTTAAACGGACGACAGAAAAATCTGAAAGTGCATTGGAATATAAAGATGCCTTGTAAAAGCTAACCAAAGAATCAAGAAACAGGAAAATTCTACTAGAAACAAAGTAAAGAGTCCTGAATTGTTATGTCATATCAATCCTCCGATATGTCAGTGAATGCTGAACAATTTCTTCACAGGTAAAGAGGAGGCTTAAGGCAACAGATGTCTTACAGAAAGATGCTGAGAATATCATGGCTTGAATATGTGAGCAACGAGGAAGTTTTAAGGAAAACAGAAACAAAATGGATACTTAGAATCAGAAAGAGATAGTTGAAATTTCTGGGGCACATGAGAAAAGAAAGAATTTGACACCCGTTGACACAATTTAAGGCAAGAGGAACAGAAGTAAATATCAAGTAACCTACATAAAAAGCATTTGTAAATGTGTATCAGAACAGGGAGTGGGAGGAATAGTAAGGAGATAAACTGCTACAAAAGATAGGAAGTTGTGGAAAGCCATGATCACCCACATCCTGAAAGGACACAGCATATAAAAGACATTGTTCTTGTATTTTGAATTAGACTTGTGTGTTGAGCATTTCAATGCTCTGTGGATTTTAAGTCCTGCATTTAAAATAAAAAATATATTGTCTGAAATGCAATATAATTCAATTTCATTCAAGTACTTTTTTGCACTACGAAGGAATTAAATTAAATTTATTCTTCACAAAGGAATATGCAATGGTGTTTCAATTAATTTACGCACATAAAACTTCTTCAACCAATAAGTTCACAAATGTAAGAAAATGTCCCTGCTATAAAAACAGATATATTCAAAAACAAAAAATGGAAATTGAACAGAACAAAATGCAACTACATGGCAATATGGAAAAAAAATTTAGAAACAGCTAACCTGTTTTCATTCTTCTCTCATCAGAGTTTGATTCAAGAATTAAAGAATTTGCAATGTTATTAGTCCTAACCTGGCATCTCGGCTTCATTCGCTTTCCCAACACCATAACATAACTTCTTTGTGCCTTTTCTATAAATATTTTAATGATAGTTGTTCTGATGAGCTTTTCTTTTTAGTATTTCAACTTCACAAATCCAAGTGCAGTACTAGATTGTCAATTAGGTTTCCTCATTTTAATATTGAAATTGTTAGTTGTAACAGTTCTATGCTAATAATTTCTTCTTCCACATATCTCGCCTGTGAAATTCTCTACTGATTTCCTGCTTTCAATTTTTTGACAATTTTTTCTTCAAAAATTTGAATGCACATCAATTATCATCTTCTGTCTCCTTGAATACCGTTAAGTTTGTAGGTCACTTTGAGATATGTGTCATGCTTGGTATCACAGATACTGAGGGGGAAATTGAAAGAGTTAGTAAAACAGAAAGCGAGAGAAAGGGATGTAGAAAGATAAGAAGAGTGTAAGGAGGGGGCATCTGAGATAAAGACAGTTGTCTGTAATAAGGAATTAAATCATATTTCATGACCTAACAATCTGATTTGCTCCTAAACTGCAAGTGACCTTTTTGAAATTTTTTTTTTTTTTTTTTTGAATCTTCACAAATTTGTTACAGACTGAGGAAAACAAGACAGTGTTGTGCATCCAAGAGTGAAACAGAAATAGTGAGGGACATAGAGAATAAAATGGAGAGAGGGACATAGACAAAAAGAAATTGCGACACACAAAGAAGGATTGGAGGAGGGACATCTTAGATAAAGGCAGTTGTTTGTAGTGATAGGTTAAGTCCTGTTTTGTGACCTGTTGAGGACATTTCAGTATTTTTAAGAGAGACTGTCACTTATCTTATAACTATCTGGGTATGGTCATAGGTTGAAAGGTACAGAGTGCTGCATTAAAAAAATTATTAGTAAATCTGTGTAATTTACACCAACTAGTTTATTATTGATACATGTGTATTTCTTATTTTTTTTTTTTTTGTTTTGTTTTCCTCCCACCTTTCTTTTAGTAGTTTGGGACGGTATTTTAATTCCTTGGTCCAGCTGTGATGAGAGTGGAGTGAAAACCATACAGAAGCTTTTAATATTTTTTTTCCTATTGCCATTTACTGTGGCTGTATTTTCTTTTTTTATCTTTTTGAGGTGTTTTTTTTATTTATTTATTTTTGTATTTATAGCATTAATTAAATTTTGTACCTCCAATAAGATATTTGAAAATGTTCCCTACATAATTTTTTTTTAATTTTATTTTTTTTATTTTTGCGCTTCATACTATTTTTATTATTACTCCAAGCGATTTCTGCATAACAAACAGTGAACTACCTCCTGCATGCTCAAAATATGAAACTAGTTAAATATATTTGTTCTGTTACATAGAACAGGAAAGGGATAGTGTCTGTTGTTAAGCCTTTTGGTGAGTTCTTCCTGGTGTTGTTTGATGTCAGGAAGAAGGGAATATGAGGGGGAT